CGTTTTACTTAGTTAAAAACAAAACCAATTGGGCAGCGCTTTCAGACGACCACCGTGGGGCAGAGCAGCCGCTCTGCCAGGAAGCAGGCGATGGGAGCCCTGGGTGGGTGGCAAGAAATCTGTGTGCTACCGAGAGCTAAAGCATTGACACGGTTCCATTTACTAAATCCAGCTGTGAAGAGCAGCTGGTTTTCTGGCAGTCAGCGTGACATACGCAGGCAGATATGCTTGAGAGAATTGATCAGTGGCCACAGGTAGGGAGGAAGGGAGGGTGTGGTGTTCCCTGTGCTACTAAGTGCTAAAGTGGCTCCTGGCAGTTCTGATTACCAAACCCAGCTGCAAGGAGCTTTTCTGGACTTGAATGTGGCATCTGATGGGGATACACCTCAGCCCTGTGCATGGGGAGGAAGAGGGAAGCACAAGGCTTCTGCATAACCGGCTACTGCCCTGCTCGATGCTCTGGCTTGCAGGATCCTGGGGGAAGGTCACTGGGACAAGTAGAGGATGTCTGCAGACAGCAGTGGAGGCTGCCAAGAGGCTTCAGACAGTGTTCCCATCTCGATTTCTCAGTTTCTCTTCCCGTTTCCTTCTCTTCAGCCCCCCTCCAGGAGGGAGCTGAGGACGCCAGGGGAGACAGCGGGCCAGGGCAAGGGGAGATCATGTAGAATAAACAGCAAGATGCTTCTTTGGAGGGCTGGAAAAGATAAAAAAGATGCCCATTATCTGGACGGAACTGTGAAAAGCTGCACCAGTGAAGCCTGCCAGCTTGGGTGTGACAGGAGAAGGATGTCCTGCTGCCCCTGGGCTCAGCCTGGGAAGAGCCTGAGAAATGCTGAGAGCTAATGCTGAGCGGGAGGGAGGTCCAAGATAATCCCTGGGGTAGTGGTTTTAGTTTCCATGATAAAGCTGGAAGTTATCTTTGCTGTCCTTTGATCTTCAAAGGACAGGAGGAAATTTCACACTTAGGGGAGGCCACCCGGTGCCAGGTGAAGTTGCTGCAGCTTGTGAAAGTCGGTCAGATGCCATAAGGCCAGCAGCTCACCTGCCTTAGTGTGAAAATGCCTCGCAGAAAGGAGTCTGCTTTTTCCTGGGGCTGGTTTTGGTGCTCTTATTAGAAAAATCACATTTGTTTGTGGATCCGGAGGCTGCAGACAGATGGCTCAAAGAGGGAGTAAAATCCAGGCAATGTGATTCTGATGTGATTCATCAGTTTGGATGTGTATTACTTTGTTGGATGGATGCGGTCAGCCAAAATAATGATTTTTGTTCTAATCTAATTACGAATTTACCGCAGCTGCCTCCTTCCAGGGAACTGAGGCAGGAGGATAGGGATTTTTTGGTATTTCAGGATGCTCTGTGGAAGTCAGATGTCCAGACTGGCATCTCTGTCAGTGTAATTCTGTTTGTACTGGCCACAAAGACTGAAAAAGCTGCCCCGAAATGAGGCAGTATGGGTCGCAGACCCACGCGAGCTCTCTCTGCCCCTTGCCCCGCAGCCTGGCTCACCACGCATGCTGAGCGCAGACATTCAGCCACTTCTCTGCATCCACCCGCCGGTTCCCCCAGGGAGTCTCTGTGGCCCTGGGTTAGTCTGTGTCCTGGCACTGCTGGGAACGGCTTGCAAAATATCCCTTTGGTCAATGATATCATCCAACCAGCAACACCTCCGGGGCTGGGACAGGCACCGCCGCTTCCCCTCCGTCCCTCACCCACTCTTTCATAACCACAAATAATCTGCGGACACAGCTTCAGAGCAAACAGCCAGTCCCGTGGATGGGATGCATGTATTTATGTCTGCGTGGCTCTCTTACTGCCAAGATTGCATTTACTGCTCGCTTGAACACGAGGAGATTCTTTGGAAGTAAAATTGACGGCTGTTAACTCACCTCCTGATCTCCCAGGCTCGCGCTGCTGTCTGAGCTGGTGATCTTTCACCTGGCGTTTGAGATTAGGCGGGTCTTCAGAGATCACCCTTGCTTATGAGTTATTTTGATAAGAACCAGTTGATCCTGTCCTCCCAGGGCTGTCCCTGAGCCCTGCTGGTGCATGGGCAGGTGCCCCCGCCCCCCCCGGAATGTCAGGCAGCCCCCCAAAAGCAGCCTCCCCCCTGCCCTGATGCCAGTGAGCCGGTGCTGACCCAGCCCCGCTCCAGGGCAGCCCCCACCGAAGCCAAGGGGTGCTGTGGGCCACCACCATCGCTGCTGGGGTAGCCACCAGGGGCAATGGCTCTGTGGGTTCCAGCATCTCTGATTTGCTTCTCCTTCACGCCTGACCCACCCAA